CGTCGCTCAGCGAAAAGAGTTCCTTCAATTTTGCCGTGAGGGTCCGAAAACTGAACCTTGCGCCCAAGATATTTGCAGGATCTGAATATCGATAGACACTCGATTATCATCCCATTCGCATGTACCTGCTGCGGTGGTCGGCATCGACGAGAATGTCCATGGCCATTGTGCAAGACCTTAGATTTGTCAGGATGCAAGGAGAGTCCGATGATCTTTGCCTCTGCGCTGTGGTCTGCAAGGGTTGCTCCTATATCAGATGAGAACGTTGCAACGAGGAAGCCATCGGCAAAACTCGGTGGTGGACAAACCTCCCTTTAGTAAACCTCCCCTTAATGAAAACGGCCCGGGGCCGAAACCGACGGACCCGGACCCGCAAAAACTACGGCCGCGACGCCCTCTCGCGAACCGAAAACGGCCAATTCCCTAATCGACGCGTCAGTGTAGGAGGTCGATCCACCTCCGAAAAACGCCTCCTGCAATCGATCCTGCCTCCTCCTCGGCCTCCTCCTCCCCCACATCCTCGCCTCCTGCACTCGATCCTGCCTCCCCCTCGGCCTCCTCCTCCTACTCATCCTCCTGACTGGCTCCCCCGCCTCGCGGCCGCACCTTCCGCCCACGGGCACGCGGACCCACAAAGTGCGGCGACGACGCACCCAACAAAGGAGGAGCCCACTCGACCCCTCGGCACCGCAGGTGCGAGGACCGATGATCCACGATGTTCGTTCCCTCCTCCTCCTCCTCCTCCTCCTCCTCCTTCTCCTCCTGCTCCTCCTCCTCCTCCTCTCCCTCCTCCCACCCTCGCCTGCACGCCCTGGCGCCCACACGTGCGCACACCCCACGGACACGTTGACCCAATACGCGGCGACGACTGACAGAGCGAAGAGCCCACTGCCTGCGCTCGACTCCTCGGCACTCCTGAGGGGGAACGTGAAAGGAGGGGACCGGCTCAGAGGTGGGGGCATCGACCTGGAATGGACGATACATTATACATCGGATAGGTCGCCGATAGGACCCAGATAGGAAACCGAACGCTCCTGGGCGGGCAGGGCTATCAAAGGAGCCTACTTTGGATTCGCGATAACGGCCGTCACGGGGGATGCTACTCCCCTCCCTGCTCCCCACCTGGTAGCGTCACGGCGCCAGCGCGCATCTTTACCTCATCAGCCCCCTCGCGCCCCCCCCTCCCCCCCCCTCGGTAACGGCCGCTATCGCGAGACAGTAAAAAACTGGGACCCCAGGCCCCCATCGACGATCAACGGGCGACTGGGGCTCGCAGCATCCCCTCCTGATGCCAGTCCCCCCCTGACGGTCACCCTGTGCTGCCCCGGAGGTCCAGGCTCGAGGATCGAGCCTCCGAGAGGTTTCTCTGCATGTTCTGGCCGTTTGGGGGGCCTCCGTCGGAGGCCGCCCACAGAGGCCCGCTTGGGGACGCGGTGGACAGAGGAACAAGGAGAGCCTGGCGACACTTCCGCGAACCGCCAGGGACCGTCTGGACACATCCTCCCCGCGCCTCGCGCGGCGAAGTTCCGAGGAGGGCGCCAGCTGCACGAGCCGGGCCCCCCTGCCGTGCCTGGGCGGTGGGCCACAGGCCTCTCGGGCACCTCCTGCGGTCTCCTGGGATTCCCCGCGGGGAGGAGGAGGAGGAGGAGGAGAAGGAGGAGGAGGAGGTGCAGGAGGAGGAGGAGGAGGAGGAGGAGGAGGAGGAGGAGGAGGAGGAGGAGGAGGAGGGAGGGGGGCATAGAGGCATCTCGAAGGCCTCAGAGGGGGGGTCTCTTGGAGGCCTGCCGTGGAGCGTCTCGGGCCCCGCCCCCGCCCGCGAGACGCGCGAACGGTCATGAGCCACGGGCGGGCAGGCGGCGGCGGTGTGGGGGAGGGGGGTGGGCCAGTGCGAGGGGGGGAGGGGGGGGGACACTGATGGGAAGAGGCGGCGGGGGTGGGGGAAGAAGAGGAGGAGGAGCAGAACGCAGGAGGACAGGAAGGACGTGAAGGGGGGGAGGAGGAGCTGGAGGGGGTGCGCACTCCTTCTTCGAGCGCTCCACCTCGTTCCTCTTCTGAACGACCTCCTGGCTCTTGCGGCCCAGGTGCTCCTCCATCTTCAGCATCTCGGAGAGCCGGCGCGCGCCCGCGAGCACAAAAGCCGCGGGAAGCAGGGGCGCGAGGAGGGCGAATGGGGGGGGGGCGGCTGCGAGAGGAGAAGGCACGAAGAGAACGAGAGGAGGGGGGGGCAAGGAGGAGGAGGGGGGCAGGGAAGAAGGGGGAGGCAGAGGAGGAGGAGGAGAGGAGGAGAGGAGGGGAGAGAGGACGGAGGAGGAGGAGGAGGAGGAGGAGGAGGAGGGAGGAGGAGGAGGAGGAGGGAGGAGGAGGGGGAAAGGGGGGGAGACGATGGGGAGGGAAGGGGGAATGACGGGAGGAGGAAGCAGAGGAGGACGAAGAGGACGAGGAGGAAAGGGAGGAGGAGAAGCGGCGGAGGACGACCATGTGGGAGGCGGGGGCGGAGGAGGGAAGGGGGGAGGGACGGAGAGGAGGACGAGGCGAACTCGAAATCCAATCTGGCCGATCGGATCGACGGGCCCCGCCTCGCCCGAGCGCGCGCCGCGCCCGCGCGCTCGAGAGGGCACGGGGGCCGGCGCCCCGCGCCTCGTGGGCGCGGGCGGGCGCGGCGGCGGGCCGACTGCTGCCTCGCGATCCCACGAGCGGACGACGAGGAGGACGACGAGGAGGACGACGAGGACGACGAGGAGGGCGACACCGACGACGACGCCGAGAACGAGGACGACGACTAGGATGACGACGACGAGCCCGAGGACGACGACGTCGCGGGCGGCGGCGAGGGCGAGGACGAGGACGGCGTCGGCCACGACGGCGGCGGCGGCGTCTGCGACGATGCCGCCGGCAGCGGCGACGGCGAGGACGTCGCTGGGCACTCCAGCTCTTCCTCGAGACTCGGAGTGCCCCCGCGGAGGCCTCCGGGGGCCTCCGCGAACCCAGCGCAAACCTGATGTGGAGCGACAAGCAGGGCGCCGCCACCAAGCGGAGGAGAAGGATTGAGAGGAGGAGGAGAATGAGAAGTGGGGAGAAGGGGAATTGAGATGAGGAGGCGGAAGAGGAGGAGGACGAGGAGGAGGAGGTGGAGGAGGAGAAGGAGGATGAAAAGGAGGGGGGAGTTGGAGGAGGAGAAGGAGGAGGAGGAGGGGAGGAGGAGGAGGGGGAGCAAAATGGAGCAGGGAGAAGGAGGAGGAGGAGGAGGAGGAAAAGTGAGGAAAGACGAGGAGGAGGGAGGAGGGGGAAGGATGAGGAGGATCGAAGAGGAGGGGGGGAAGATGAGGAGGAAGATGAGGAGGAGGAGGAGGAAGAAGGAGGAGGTTTCGATCCGATTCGAGCTCATGGAATCCAAGACTGCCACAATGGAGCCGAAAACTTCCAAATAATGAGCTCACGAGCGTGTCAGAGAGGATTCCGAACGAGGCACTGCACCACCTCCACCTTGCACTGCAGCCCGACTGCTGCTCTCTGCGCAAGTGGCAGCACTGGCCACGACCCGCAACCACCAGGCCTCCACGCAGAGAGGGCTCGCGCGGCGCGGGCTCGCGCGGCGCGGTGGCCCTGCCTGGCAGCTCCCGGTCGGGCCTCCGCACTCTTTCGCGGCGGGGAGGTTGGCAGACAGCCGAGGGCCACTTGCAGTAGAGTTTCCCGGGGCTTCCGCCGCACTCTTTCGCGGCGGGGAGGTTGGTAGACAGCCGAGGGCCACTTGCAGCAGAGTTTCCCGCGCGGCCGCGGGCCGCAGGCGCGACGCGCCCTCACGCTCCGTCGCTCCGCTCCCCGCTCGCAGCATTCTGACCGCCCCCCCGCCCGCGGCCCGACAGCACTTGACCACGACCGCGCCCGCGATACCCACTTTCCCCTCTCCCCCTACGCTTCGGCTGGGGGGACAATACTACGACTGGTCCAGCAGGTAAATTATCATGCATCTATGTCTGAATCGATATGGCTGCTTGAGGTTCTATAACACCTCGTGCTACTAGAGACTGGTAGCGCTCACTGCTCGCAAATGCCCTCGCTGCTTGTTCGCCCCTACGTGTTTAGACAGCTCGCGTTCGAATGGCCCCTTCGGGGCTGGGCCCACCCGGAACTTCCCCCTCCAACACCACCATCTCCCCCACTAGCTCCGCCAAGACGTCCCCAATCCTGCTCCTCATGTGAAACTGCATGTAGAGAGTGCATTTCTGGATGGCGTTCTCCTCCGGACGGTGCACCTTCACCCGGAAGTTGCCGCAAACACGACCGATCTCCCGCCAATGAAGTTTGGAGAACTGCTCCGTCCAGAACTGAATCAGGTTCACTTTGTTGGTCAGAACTCGCTTCTGGTTCTCCCCCTCGGGTACGCTCTTCGTGCATCCCTAATGAACGGCTGACATCAGTATGCACACGTGGGGGGCTCGATTCTTGAAATCTACCGTCTCCCCGCCCTTCGCCTTCTCGCGCATCTCCTGGGACGTGTGATCGTAGTCTTTCCCAGACTGCAACAGGGCGACGATGAGGGCGGTCGCGACTGCGAGCTCGAACCAGAGGAATAGGCTGGCTGAGACGTCGGCCAGTTCCCTGGCGTTGGAAAGAACGAGACAGATAGTGGTGTCCACCTTCTTCTGCAAGCTGCTGGATGTGGCGACGTCTTGGCCCCGTGCTGGTTTCTTGCCCCCACCGCCCTCCTGGCCCCCGTTCCCGGTTGACTGCTCGCCCTCTGGCTTGCGCTTGGTCCCCTCGCTGAACCAATCTGGCATCTGAAGAGCGACGCCCATCACTGCCTCAGGCATGACCTACACCAGTCCTGCCTAAGTAGGGCTGAAGCTGAAAGGGTAAATGTTCGCACAAGTGGCTGCACAGGTCATCAAAATTTGAGCCGATAAAATCACAGCATAGGCAAGCCAACGAAGTCGGCATGTTGGGGACGCTTTCATGGTGGAGGGCCCCCGCGTTTCGCAGTGCCCCCGAGCCAGAGATCCTTGGAGGTGTCGTGCGGCCGTGGATTGACACCCAAAGACCTGCCAACAATGGATGCAAATGTTGGTCGGGGTCAGGACGTGGCACCTGTTCCTCAAAATATGGAATTGCCTGAGGTGGTTCATGAGCTCCCTTCGAGTCGTAAAGGCCGCCGTACATGCCCCTTCCTCTGTCCTCAAGCCACAAACACAAGGACGTTCAATACCATCCATCTCGTCCTCCTGCCCAGTGGCTCCCCGACGTTGCGCTTCACCCTCCTGAATTTGACCCGGTGGAGGAATGCAAGCAGAGAAGAAACAGGATCGTACCACCGTGACATCGATAAACTCTCCCTCAAGGCGCTACGCCACCCGCAGGCCCGACGCTGCAGCGAAAGGTATCCACGGGGGGGCCACTGCGGCACCTCTCCGGGGCTCCGGGGCACCTATGGTGCGGCCGGGATATGGAACCAGAGAGATGGCCACGAGTGCCTCGCGGTCCCACGCGCGAACGAGGAGGAGGAGGACGACAAGAACGAGGACGAGGGCGACGACGACGACGACGACGGTGGTGGCGGCGGTGACGGAGGCGGCGGCAGCGACGACGACGCCTACGGCGGCGACGACTACGACAGCGTCGGCGGCGGCGACGATGGCATTGGCGGCGACGACGATGTCGATGGCCGCTCTGGAGGATGAGGAGGGGGGATGACCTGGAGGATGAGGCTAGGGGAGGAGGGATGGCTGGAAGGAACAGGGAAGGGACTGAGGAAAAGGAAGGGGAGGGGAAGGGAGATGAGGAAATTGGTGGCGACGATATTGTTGATGGTGGGCATGATAGGGGGATGAGCTATGCCCACGCCACCCGCCCATCGAAGGGCCGCCTTCTGCTTGAGAATGGCCTGCTCCTTCTGCATGCGGGCTAGCACGTGCTCGTAAACCTCCACGGAGTGAGGGAGACGACCTCTTCCTCCTCCTCCTCCTCCTCAGATACTCCCTCCTGCCCTCCCTTCTCCCTCCTCCCTCCTCCTTCCACACCTTCTTCTTGTCTTGCCCCCCTCCACAATTACTCAATATAAATACTACTCTCCCTATTCCCCTGGTGACGGTTTGAAAATATTAGCCCCCCCCCCCCGCGTACTGTTTTTCTACACACAGGATTCCCCTGAGTTGGGTGTTCGCCTGCGTTTTGCTCCACAATGCTGCTCTCGCTGAGGCGCCGGCCTCATTTTCGGGCCCCGCTCGTTCCGAATCGTGTTCCCGCTGCAACTCTGGCCTCATGTCCGTGCTTCCGCTCGTTCCGAATCGTGTTCCCGCTGCAACGCTGGCCTCATTTCCGCGCTTCCGCTCGTTCCGACTCGTGCTCCCGCTGCAGCGCTGGCGTCATTTCCCGTGCCATGCCACGGCATGCAATGCAGTGCTAGGTTGATACGACGCTTTGCGGTGCTCTTCTACGCCATGCCATGCCGTACTCTACAATGCATCGCGTACCATTTCGGGATCATTGCCCTGCTCGACATCCGACTGTGCGAGTAGAGAGGGGATCTACGCGGGTAAGGGATGGGAGGGAGGACAGGATGACAGATATGACGCAAGCGCAGCTAGCTTCATCCTCCCCCCTCCCTGCCTCCCCCGCCTCATCGTCCCTTCATCCCTCCTTCTCGGGTCCATGGGGGACGGGATGGCGAGGGAGGTGACGGGACAGCGCGGATTCATGGATTCGTGGAGTCGAGCGGTCGGGGAGTCGGGGAGTCGGGGAATCGGAGTCGGGAAGTCGGCCAGTCGGGGAGTCGGGGAGTCAAGCAGTCGGGGGGGGGAGTCGGCGAGTTATTCCCAGTGGCCCAAAAATTGTCGAGGACGCGAAGACGCCCCAACAGGCCTACAAGAGGCTCTCAAGAGACATCCGACAAGACTTCGAGAAGCGTCCGATAAGCCGCTGGCATTTGTGTTCGCCCTCCTCATCTTCCTCGTCATCTTCCTCATCCGCCGAATCCTCATCCTCCCTCCTCCCTTGTCCTTCCTTCCCTCTCCCCAGTCCCCCTTCCCCTTCTCTGTTTCCTCCCATCCTCCCCCTCTTGGGGTATGACTGCTTCCCAGCCTGGATTCCACTGCGTGCTCCCCCACATGCCTGATCCAAGCAACTCGCCTGGACATCGTTTCTGGATGGGGTGGTGGGGTTACGCGAAACGTCTAGAATGTATAATTCCGCCGACTTCCGGTAGCCTTCCACCGGCTTCCGCCGAGGGCGAGGACACGCCAAAGGCGAGGCCCGTGCTGGAGCGCGCCATCTGTCCTCGACCACAACTGCTGCGAAGTACCTGGGACACATGCTCTGCACGACAGCATGCCTCAGGGCCCGGGGCGGAGAATCCCTGCAGCGTGATAGCACACCTAGTAGGCCCAAATGCAAATAAATGCAAGGGCGCCAGGCCTTCCGGCTCAGCTGAGTGTCCTCCAGTCTCGCAACAGTGTCCCTCAGCTGCATCTCCAGACTGCTCTTCTCCTCGTTGAAGTCGTGGGCTTCCTGCGGCACGGGCGCCGGGCAGGTGCTCATCCGATGCAGCATCCGAGCCCCCAGAATCTGGAGGGCCCGCTCACAACGTTTCAAGAACGATACTCACCAGAGTACCGACCAGCACACCCGCAGAGGGCGGGGAGGAAAGGGAGCCCCACCCCGTCAGCATTCGGGCCCTCGAGCATCTCTCCGTCCCGCGCGCTGCAGGAGGGCGACCCCCGGCTGTGGACCTTCTCTGCCCCCCGAGCACAGAAGGGACACCGCCCCTGGCTTTCGGCCCTCTCTCCTTCTCGCGCGCTGAAGTGCTCGTCCCACCCTAGCGAACGAACCTCTCTGCTTCTCGCGCGCTAAAGACCCCCCTCACGCGGCTTTCGAGCATCTCTTTCCCACGCGCTGAACCGGGGGCCTTCGATGTTCGCCACCCGCTCCGCCGCAGAGGCCTTTGAGGCCCTCCGAAAGCGCATCCAGAGCCTTGCAAATGCAGTGCGAAAGAAGCCGCTCTACTGGTCACGCGGCAACGCCTGAGGGGTGAGAAATACGACTGCGTTCCATTCGTCGCAGGGCATCGCTGCAGGGCGATCAGAATATGATTGGACTCCACTCGTCGCGTGGCCTCGCCGAGAGGCGCAACAAGCACACTTCCACTCTGCTCGCCGGGAACAGGCGCAACAGGCGCAACAGGCACACGCGGCAGCTCCAGCTCCGGGAGGCGAACAGCGATGAGATTCGACTCTGGTCGTCCCGCGGGAACGTCTGGCGGGGGCGGAGAAGAACTATAAACTATTCTACGCGCCACGTGGCAGCGCAGAGAGGCGGCAGCACACAGCGCTTCACGCTGCGCATGACGGCCACGCCTGGGGAGGATGGGGGGGGGCACAGAACAACATTTATTCCGCTCTGCTCGTCTCTCGGCAGCGCCTAAGCTCAAGCATGGCTTCGACGCGCCGCGTGGCAACGCAGAGAAGCGAACCTACGATTCCACAGCTCACGTCACGCAGCACCGCCTGGGGGGGCCGAACAACGACTCCAGACGACTCGTCTCGTGGCAACGCCTGGGAGGCGGAAGGGATACCACCTCGTTCTGCTCGTCCCGCGGAAACACCTGGGGAAACGAAAATAAACGATTCCAGTCTATCCGTCACGCCGAAAGGCCACTAGGCTTGAAACACACTAATCCCATCTACTCGCAAAGTGGCAACGCCTGGCATGCAGAGAAAAACTATCCTACTCTACTCGTCTCGCGGCAACGCCTGAAAGGCGAACAACAAATCTACTACGCGGTTCTACGCGCCACTTGGCAACGCAGGAAAGGCGGAAACAAATACTGTTCTACGTTTTACGTCACGCGACAACGCCTTGGTGGCCGAGACCATACTCCGCTTTACCCGCCACGTGGCAACGCCCAGGGAAGGCGACATGCTACCATCCCGCACTACGCGTGACAACGTCTGGGGGGGCGAGAATGAACATATCCCGCTCTACTCCTTTCGCAGCAATCGGGCGAAGAGAACTATGCACATGCACCGATCCTGACAACGTCCATCCTTGACCCGGGATCGGTGCATATACCTTCCTAGCCAAGGTAAGAGGGCGTATGCACCGATCCTGAGCTCAGGACGGGCCTGGCCAGAATCGGTGTATGTGCATAGTTCTCTTTCCTCTGAGCAACGCCTGGAGGGCGGCCGCACACATCACCCTGCTTTTCTAGGTACCGCGTGGCGGCAGCATGAGCGGCGAACCTGCCCACGCCTCCGCTGCCCACGTGGCACGTGGCAGCGCCTGCAGGCCGAGCAACTGCTCCGCCATGCTCGCCACGCGGCAGCGCCATGGAGGCGAGAGACACACTGCATACTCCACTCGTTACGTCAGGTTCGTGTCGTGCCGACTTCGCCGTTGGTTTCTGACACCGCGGGGATCGTTCAACCTTGAACGATCGGCCGTGTCCGAAACGTCTACAACGTTCCTTATCAAACGAGTCTGGGTCGCCAACGGCGTTCAACGTTGAACGCCGCTGGCGGGGTCGCCGCCGGCCGACACGACACGAACCTACGGTAGGCGGCAAAGCTTCGGGGCCCGAACACAAACTGGTCCAGTCTCCTGCCCTCTGAGAGCAGCAAGCCTCGCGCCCCCACCTTCAACTCCGTATCCGTTCAAAACACACTCCGGACCTCGCATGGGCCCCAGCAGGCCTCGAGCCGCGCCCGGCCGCAGCGACGAGGAGGGCCTCCATGAACGCCGAACAGCCTCGAGCGCAGATCCTTTTTCGGCTGGACGTGCGAATCCTTGTGACTATGAGTGGTACTACTCAGATACCTCCGCCAGAAACATGCCCTCCTCCTCCTCCTCTTCCTCGCTTGAACCCTCATCCGCCCTTCTCGGACCCTCGCGCCCCGAGAGAAAAGACACCGAGCACCCGCCCGACGTGCGCGTGGTGTGCCTCGGCCCCCTCGCTCCCCATCCCCGGCGCCACGTGGCAGCGCAGAGAAACGGAGGCACACATAGATTAGCCGGCGTGGGCCCCAAACAGTGCTTCTAGCAACAGATGGCGTGCAGTCTGGGTGATGCACTCTACGTGGTGCAACCTATGTTGTGCAATGTGAATTGCGCAATGTATGCTGTGCAATCTATGTTGCGCAGCGTGTGTAGAACAATCTGCGTGGTGCAATCTATGCGGTGCAACATGCGCGGTGCAGTATAAGTTGTGCAACCGACGCGGAGCAAGCTACGTGGTACAATACATGCGGTGCAATCTGCATGGTGCTATATATATCAATCTGCATGGTGCTACATCTATATAAATTTTTATACACGTAGGTATCGTGCAATATATGTTGGGCAATAGTGTTGGCTCACTATTTCGTGGTGTAACCGATGTGGTGCGCAATGCCTTAAAACAATTGCGAAAGACAATTCTTCCCCGCTCCCGAACGAAGTGAACCCCACCCTCCCCCTCAGAAATCGTGGGGGGTAGGGGTAGGGTTCGCATGTGACCCCCTAGTCTTGGAACGCTCTTGGGCTGTCTTGGAGGCCTCTTGGGCCGCTCCTGGAGCTGTCGTGATGCCTTCTGGGGGCGTCTGCCGCCTCCTGGCAGTCCCGGGGCCCCAGGGCCCCCACGGCGCGTCGAGGGCCGTCCTGGGAGCCACCAGCCCTATCCCCCGTGTTTTTTTTCTATACATGTTTATTTATATATATATATATATATACACATCTATATATATATACATGTGTATACATATTTATTTAGACATATATATATATATATATATATATATATATGTATATGTGTGTGTGTTCCTTTCCTAGATTTCCCCAACCAACTTGCTGAACAGGGTGCCGTTGTGTTAGTAACTAGCTCCGGCCGACGGAATTCAAAGCAAAGACGTCCTCAACAAAATTTGGTGGTCCGGAAAATTTCGCCTGAGACATCCTCGCAACTCTCGTTTCTGAGTAGTCCGGGATTGAGCGTTTCGCTTGAGACATCCTCCAAACTCTGAGTTCCCAGATGCCGCGCAAGAGGTGGTCCAGCCAATTTCGCCTGAGACATACTCCAAACTCTGAGCTCCCAGATGCCGCGCGAGAGGTGGTCCGGCCCGTTTCGCCTGAGACATCCTCCAAACTCTGAGCTCCCAGATGCCGCGCGAAAGGTATTCTGGCCCGTATCGCCTCAGACATCCTCCAAACTTTGAGCTTTGAGATGCCGTGCGCGAGGTGGTCCGACGCGTTTCGCCTGAGACATCCTCGCAACTCTGAATTCTAAGATGCCGCGCAAGAGGTGGTCCGGCCCGTTTCGCCTGAGACATCCTCGAAACTCTGAGCCCTGATATACCGTGCGCGGGGTGGTCCAGCCTGTTTTGCCTCAGACATCCGCGCACTCTGATGCCGCGCGTGAGGTGGCCCGGCCCGTTTCGCTTGAGACATCCTCCAAACTCTGAGCCTCGAGATGCCGCCAAAGAGGTGGTCCGGCCCGTTTGACTTGAGACATCCTCGCACTTTTGCATTCCGAGATGCCGTGCGAGAGGTGGTCCGGCCCGTTTCCTTTGAGACGTCCTCGAAACTCTGAGCTCTGAGCTGCCGCGCGCGAGGTGGTCTGGCCCGTTTCGCCTGAGACATCCTCGAAACTCTCAGCTCTGAGCTGCCGCGCAAGAGGTGGTCCGGTCCATTTCGCCTGAGACATCCTGGGCGGCGGAGAGAACTGCAGCCCCGCCCAACTCGTCGCCCAGGATCGTCACGGGGCGGAGACACAATACGATTCCGCTCTACTCGTCACGGGGCAACGCCTGGGGACGGGGAGACAAAAAATCTGGCATGCCACTCGTCGCGCGGCAACGCCGCGAAGCGACCGCATGCCAGTCCACTCTGCCCGCCACGCGGCAACGCCAAGGAGGCGAACAAAAACAGATTCGACTCGACTCGTCCAGCGGGATCGCCTGGCGAGGGCGAAACAGACTACATGTGCCTTCGCGCTGCGTGGCAATGGCAACGCGAAAGAATGGAAATACACAGATGTCCAATATACTCTAGCAGGATTCGGGTCATCTATTGGGCCCCTTCTCTTTACATTGGCTGTTTGCATTTCGGGTTCGGGTTTCGGATGTCCTTTTCGGAGAGCAGCGTCCGAAACAGATGCGATGTCGGATGACATTTTCGGGGCAGGGGGCTGAAATCGAAAGCGTTTTGGAAAGAACTGTCGAAATCGGAGGCGTTTCGGAACGCATTTGGAAACCAATGGCGTTTCGGAACACATGCCCGAAACCTAAGTGACTCCAGAAACCAGCTTCCGAAAGCGAAGCGGATCGGGGACGGGCCTGGGTATTCAGGGGGAAAGTGCTGAAAGTGCGGGTCGTTAGCATCGCTGCATAAAAGCATAGTCCGATGTTAGAGCCACGCGATAAAAACATAATGCGACGTCTCGGGTCCCGAGGAGACATTGTCAGGGTCCTGAGAGGGACCCAAGATGGGGACCAAGAGGGAGCAACACGAAATGACGCGAACAGGTCACCGCGTCATTG